GGGGGGGGAGGAGGGGAGCACCACGATAAGCCTGCAAAAATGGCAACTGGCTCCACAATCTTCCTGCAAAATTGGCTGCTTGCTTCCTTGGGTTGAATAGGTGAATAGGTCCCTATTTATAGGGACCCATCTCAATGAACCATGCTGTCTTGGCTTGCTCTTCTGGCCCCACATTTCTTCTCCTTTTTGTTACCTAACATGTCCACTTCAAGAGAAGGGCTGGAGGGTGCCCTGGACAATGCTGAGCCATGTTCTGGTGGGTACAGCATTTGTTGAGAAGTGGGAGACATAAGTTTAAACCATCTTAAGTGAGAGAAGCCTAGAACCTGGGTCCTTACTTGGCTAGTACACTAACCACTGTACTTCTGGGTTAAAAGACCGGAGAGTTCTCTTCCTCCTCCATCCTATTCCAGTACAGGTGGATATAGAAAATAACATCTGTATAAATGCAATCACCCCTCACCCCTCCAAAAAAAAACCCAAATACCCACAATCAAACACAGCACAGCTTGGTGTAAATTGAAATTTGTAGTAATTAAAGCATGTAAGACATTAAACATTCTGCTTCAGTGTTTGGCTCAGAACTAAGGTCAATTGAATAACAGTATCAAAAATCCCACAACACTGTGGGACATCTTTTACATGTTAGCTATCAATACTGTGCTGAACACCAACACATTCAGAAAGGAGAACATTGGAAAGAATTGCTGGAGTGTTGTCCCATTAGACTTTTGGGTTTTTTTCCGATACAGCTGGATGATTATGTCACCAGCTGGACTTTCAGAGGCAAACCACCATGAGACTTACTCCTGTGAAAGAATGCCGTTGGCTAGAATTCCTTCATATCGACTTATTCCCTTCTGCTGAATGACACTGATCTGGCCACCCAGCTCATCTGTAATAATTCCTGCATGTATGGCCGATTTGCACAACAGAGAGGTCTGAAATGCAGAAATATGGGATCAAACAAAATGCAAAATCTAGCAAGTTACTTATACTTTTTAATCACAAATTCATGAAAGCTAAAGATCATAAAATCCTGGAAAGGCAAAAGACTTTAAGGATGGCTTAGAACTAAACACTTCCCAACAGTCAAATTCTTCAGGAGAAATGGGTGAACAGTTTGTTTTTACAGAAGTTACTTCAGGATTATCTAACAAAGAAATATCCCAGGGCGAAGAATGTGCCAGTGGTAAATGTGCAAGCCTTCAACCTAGGAGACCTAGCTTCAATTCTCTACTCCAGTGGTTCTCAACCTTTGGTACTTTACGTACCCCCTGCCGACTGATGTGGCAAAAGTGAAACTGGAAGTCCCACTGTAGCACTTTGTTTCACCACCGTGAGCTGAGTCCCACTTTTTCCACCGTGGCCCCAGGGCAAAGCAGCCTGCATGGGGCCTCCCTCCCTATCCCCTGGCGCACAGACACTGGGGAGTGAAAGCCCCGGTGCACCGGACATGGCAGGAGGGGTGGCGGACGGAACATGTGGCCCGAATAGGCAAAGACCAAAACGCAGCACCCATGTACCCCCTGCCTGTGTCTTGTGTACACCCAGGGGTATGCCTACCATGGGTTGAGAAACACTGCTCTGCTGTGCTGCCAACTTCTTCACAATTTTAAGAGAGTCCCTTGCATCGGCACAGCTAGGATTTTGAAAAGGGGGTGCAGATGGTAAGGCACTTCATCACAAATGACCTAGCACATTTTCTCCAGTTGAAGAGAAACCAGATGCTTTACTAATATGCTAGGGGGCTAGTACTATACAAATACAGCTATTGGAATGTGCACTGATTTGCCAGATGATATATAACGTTTAAAAAAACATAACGAACAAGGTGAAAAATAGTAAAAAAGATGTTATAGTTAACTGTACAGTTGTCATTTAGATTTATAAAACAAAATTCAGCATCCCTGAGCATCTTGACAGTGCCTCCAATACTTCACTGTCAGTCATTTCTACTCTTGGGTTAGTATTACCACACTTGAGTAAAGGTTTTTAGTTAGAACTAAAAATAATCTTTAGGGCTATGAAATACAAGAGAGACTACTAGGAATGGCTAACAGAAAAATTGCAAAAGAAAGGATAAGCTGAAGAGTAGAACATCAAGACAATAAAAAGGATAGAGGGTTATTAACACATGCGGAATGGAGAGAGATTAGCAGGAATCAGGGTGATGGCAATGAGCTATGAAGTCAATCAACTCTGTCAGCACTGCCTAAATAGAAATGTGGCTGCCTCTCCCAGGCTGCTGGTTTTAAAGCTTGGGAGGAGCAGGAATCAAAGGGGAGTGCAACTGCATCACTGCACCCAAATGGGGTCTGCCCCACGTCCCTTAGGGTGCCTGTACATGAGTGTGGAGTCTCCTCCGATGCACTGCAATTACAGTGCACTAGGGCAGACTCAACTGAGTCGTAATTGCTGCATTCCAGCCAGGTTTTGTGTCCTGTGTATCAGCATCCTCCTGCTTCAAAATGGCAGCAGGGGCTCTTGAACTAAAGCTTGTTGAATGAGCTTTAGTTCACACCATTTTGAAGTGTGGGGACGTTGATACATGAGATGCTGCGGTACTTTAATTAGGGTGGCTCTTGGAGCCATCTTAATTAAGTGCCATCTCCCACCCCAAAAGCATGTGTAAAAGTGCCCTTGGTTTCTCCCTCTGTAGGACCAATGTAGGAAGTGTGCTCAGTGCAACAAGTAACAACAGGTTACTTGTACTCTGCAATTTGCTTAACACCCTTGATACCAACATTCTGTTGCTATGACAGAAACAACATGAATGAAGGAACAGTAAGAATTAATGCTCTATTTCTCCCACAGAAGGAAAAAAGAAAAGCTAATTTAACTGCCATAATTGGGGGGAACAATCAAAAGTACTGCGTGGATTTTTTTTCACTGAATTTAGACATGTAGATTATTTGTTCCTCAGCTTCTTACTCTGCACAGTGTCTACAACAGGGACATCCAGCAGTTCAAGTCCATCATTAACAATACTGGGAGCCCTATTATACACTGGCTGCCACTGACAATTCAAGTACCAATTGTCTGTTATACCAGAATTAATGGGTACTGTACTTCATGCCAGCAGCCCTCTTGCACAAGAACTCCCAATGTTATTAACATCTGAAGACCTCAACCATTAGGAACAAAATCCTAGCACAGGCAAGATATGAGTGAGGTCATGCTGACTGCTACTTTTCAGTTCTCATCACCAGGTGTGGCACCTTTTTCATAGGCTTCACTGCAACTTTGCTGTTGTTGTTCATGCCATTTCATCAGTCAATGTCATTTCAATTTTACTGTATAGAGCAATGCTTGAACAATTGCTGAGTCGCTTATACATATACTGCCTTTTCAAAAACTCAGTCATTGATACATTTGTGAAGAGAAGTAAAACTAAGTAAACATGTATTATGTTCAGGCTTATCTGGATATAAAAAGGAGGGATTAGGAAGATTTCACAGGGAGAAGGTTCCAGTAACATGGGGCAGCTGGAAGGCAGGACAGGGCATGGCACAATATATAGCTAAATCTAATCACTCTTTCCATCAAACTGAACTGATCAAAAGTCAATATGATGATGCAAGTTAACTGATTCAAGAAAGTAGGCGCGAGTGGCATGGGGTTAGGAAATGTGCCCTATACATATAATGGATCTTAAAAGAACTGGTGTGATATTACAGTCAATGTTTCTTCAGAAAAGCAAAATATTACTTTTTCCCCTAGAAGGAATGAACAGGGGAAATGGGAAAGAGCTTTGATACGCAAATATGGGACTCTGCAGGCAGCAGTCTAAATTGAGAAATAAGGTACACAACAATTCTAGAAGGGAAAGAGTTGAGCTTATAGGAACAGTTTAGTACATCATTCAGCAATACTTAAAAAGGAAAAATAAACCACAGCTGTTAGAAGCCAGAAGTTATTATTCAATACACAGCTGTCTGAATGATTATATGCATCTTGCTCATAAACACCTGGCTGGCCTGGCTGGAAATATGAAGTAGTACAGGTGCCAATACCCACTCTGGGATTTTTAAAAACAGCTGAGAAAAAAGCAGCAAAACAAACCAGACAGCAAAATGTTAAAAGTTTTGTATTATATTTAAGCTGTTTTAAGAAACCATGGAATTGCTTTTACACTCCATCTTTCCAAAGTTCCTCTTTTATCCTTCATACTTACATCTCTGTATCCTTCCACTACATTCCCCGAAATATCACCTGCTATGTCTTTGCAACCAGCGGGACAATACTTGCTGGAGGAAAAAATAACAGAAGTTTGTTTGAAATATGGTCTGCAATGTGATATGCACATAAAATATACCCACAGACCAAAAAATATTTTTAGAAGCATGTTCTAGCTGGGCATAAATTAGCATGCTTATAAAAGGTTAATTTGTTCTCAAGTTCAGGTTCATTAGTGTACTTCATGTAACAGCACACACCAACAGCCCCAGTAGCAAACACTTATGTTCTTTTTTTTTAATGCTGCTTGTTCTAGAAATACTATTACACAAGCTTTGCAGATAAGCAACCTGAATTCAACATTGGCCGTACACACAGCAACAACTAGCTTACACTCCATTACTTTCACAACCTACTATAAGGTTGCTGTCTAAGGAACTAACCTAAGAACTATTTTAACTAGTCATCACAGATTATATTTATAACTCTTGGGTATGGTTTTGCAAGATGGATCATGTTGTCAACTCCCAACGTTGCAGAAGTTTAAGGGCACTCAGTAGCACAAAGGTCAGCCTCTTTTTAAAATGTACTATGCCACTGATCAATTATACCAAAAACCAAGAGCTCTGTTACTGTATCCCCTTGCTTGTTCCAGAATATCCATCTTGGGAAGGTCAGTTTGTTGCTGCTCCAATAAGTACAGTATTACTACTAAAAAGGAAACTGCTTTACTGGAGAATACATTCCTGTCATCAATATCAGAATTTTAAGCATGTTATGAGCTGCAGACAAGTTACTTTGTCCACAGACAACAGATAAGTCAGTTAAACAAAAGACAGCCTGGTAAGCCCAACTGGATAGCACTAGGCCTACATTTACCTGTACTCATTCTTTGGGTAATGGTTTGCTCTCTCCAAACAGGTGATGAGATCTGTGAAAAATACAAAGAAGAGGCAATCCTGACTGAAGAGCACAGGAATGAAGAAAGCCTCTCAAGATACTGTTTACACATATGCATCCTCACTGTTTACCTTTTGATTACTGACAGAAAGCAAGCATGATTTTCTCATACTTTTCTTCCCCCCCACCCCAAACAGTTTTACATCTCTATTAAAAGGAATGTGCACAGCAAGATCACCACTATATCAGACTGTTAATTTTCATCAACCAGTCACTCCCATCATGGAGGCTGGAAGCCCTCAAGGTCTCAGAGGTTTTTAAGTTTTCCATGACACTAACTTATCATACCACAGGTCAAGCCAGTTGAGAGTGTGGTGGTAAATATTTGACACGTGGTACATATTTGAGTTAAGACATCATTTAGTGAGATAGCAAAGAGAACATATTTTTTTCTGCAGATCATTTATGTCCAACTTCAGAAGCTACTAGGCATGTGCACAATGCCATTATAATTGCCCCCTCTATACACTGAAATAGAAAATGTTACAGTTCATGAAGATAAACTCTTTGGTAATAGCAGAGACACAGATATTAGGGTTTTGACATTACAATCTATTTAGCAGCATATTCACCTCTGTCCTTGTGTTTTCTTTTCTGTAATAATAAATAATAAAATGTAGTACTGTAGGCCCTAGAGGCCCTTGGCTGCCTCCACTATCTTCATCTGTAACTTAAGAACATTTGTTTTGTGAGTTCTACTATACCTGGATGATCGGTACTTGCATAGGACAACAGAAAACCCCGTCCTGATACATGCGACCCACTCCTGAAGTGAATAGTTGCTTCATTAGTATCCAAGGTGATTTCTTTGGGTACAGGCATCAGGTTACCACAGTATCGGCCTACATACAAAACAAATAAAATGTCAAAAGCTTCAGATGACTTTAATAAAATAGGGCATAGACAGTCTTGTGATAAACCAAGGAGTTTCACAATATATTCATCCTCCCCTTAGTACAATTACAGATGATGACTGCAGTTTTTTGGATTCAGCCCTTTGTGAGTATGAAGTCTGCAGTTGCCATGACAAATGATTGGATTCCTGCCATTCTCTAAGCAGAGTAAAAATTTTGGCATTAACATTTCTCATCATTTTAGCCTCAAGTGGATGATTGGTGCTCTTTGGCTTTTGAAGTATAACATTCCTAAACATCCATTAGAGCGGAGTGAAATATTCAAAGGCAATCCAAGGCGGTCTGCAAAATAACCCTTCAAGATATACACAGGTCACTTTAGCTGCAACTGGTACAGGATAAGATCACAAAAAACATGCAAGAATTTAAAGGAAAGTATAGCATGACTGATACAAGGAAACATACCTGAGCAACTTTCACTGTCAGATATTCAGAAAACATAAATTTTGCTACCATTCACTGAATTATTTTTCCTCTTAAGTCTTAAAATATGGTTTCTAGATGTTAAGTACATCTTGATATCAAGTTTTTCTTTAAAACTTAAAATAAAAAGGTGGCACTGAAACAAGTTTTGTGCCTTCCTTCTGCCATATCCTGGGACATTAGCTGGGGCACTATTTTTAGGGATAATCTGGGATTTCTGACAACCACTACTTTTTCAGGATCCTCCCCTTTCTCTGACTGGGGTACAACCCCTGCTCTTTCCCACTGAAACTCGAACCAGAAAATACAGCTTGTGCATGGCCTTCCCTAAACCATAGACTGCCCACTAATACAGGAGTTAGTTTAGGCTTCTATTACTTTTCATTTAATTTTTGCAATAAATAGTAATAAATTGTACTTTTTGCAATAAGTAGTAGTAGGAAGATGAACATAGTTTGGCAGAGACTTCATTTAAGAGGGGAAAGGAGAAAAAAAACAGAAGAAAGAAAAACATTTGTCCTGTAGACAGTTCATATAGCCAAATACACTGAAACCAGGGGTCTCCACCTCTTTGGCCTGAAGGAAACTAAATTCTCTATACCCTTGCTGGGAGCCCTAAGAATTCTCTTGGCACCTTAGAGGCAGCATAATGGTGAGATAGAGGAGGCTTAGACTGAATTTTTGTGTTCACCAAACCAATTTGTATAAAGAGCCAGAAGGGAGTCACTACTTAACTCAACAAGGACATTTCAGGATTGTCTCTTTTGGTTATATGGGAGATGAATTAAATCAGGGAAAGGAAAACTGATGAAAGAAAAATAACTAGTATATAAGCCAGGACTTTGTTGTCTACACAGCTGTACTCCGATTTGGAAATTAAGGAAAAGGAAAGATTCATCTCAGGGCTATACATATCTTTAATAAAATGAATTTCAACTGTTGTTCCCTGTGTCACAAGCTTTGGGCACATAAATAGTTGTTAGGGATATAAGTCTACCACTTGGATATTTCCCAAAGAGCACAGGTGGTCTCCACATTATAGCCACAAAACATTGACTTTGGGATCCATAATGGCATAGCCACAATGCAAGTCTGGTGACCTGTACTTTCCTTCAAGTACCCCAAAGATCCCTTCCATCTAGTTTTATGTGCAGTACAGAATGGGTTGATTCATGTAAAACCTCAAACAAAAATGGGAGATTTCTTACTGACTCAACAGCACTCTAGCACCAGCCCTGTGTAAACTGGCGTGATCAGGGCAGACAGGAGGTATTCAGGAATGGATAGGATTTGCTCTAAGTTTAAACATTAAAACCAGGTATAAACAACAGTAACAGGAAAGAAAGAAGCGATTAAAACATTTCCCATGAGTATTCCTGTGTGGAAAAATGACTCACTGTGTGACTGCAAACAATTTCTAAGAAAGGGTTAAGCAAGTTACTTGGGACAGGAAATTCAATCAGAAAAAGATAGCATCTTACATGTTCTCATACCAGAATATAAAGCTGATCCTGAAAATGGTCACTAATGTCAGCTTGTTGGGAAGAAAGAGAAAATGCTAGCTTAAATATTGTTGAGAGACAATGTGAAGAGGAAACAAAACAGTATTTTTCCATATTCAACAGGGGGAGGAAAGCCGAGTACAAGGTTGGAGTGGGGAGTGCGGGGGGCTGGTGCACGGGACAGGGCTAGAGTCAGAGCAGCAGCAGCTGCCTGCCCTCTCCCCCACCTACTTACCATCAGGCACAGCTCTGGCTCTAGCCCTCCCCCACACCTACTTACCAGCAAGCACAGCTCTGGCTCTGGCTCTGTTCCCTCCCAGGCACGGAACAGATACAAGCTCTGGCCCGTGCCCAGCCTCACAGCAGCACCGGGGCCAGAGCTGCCATTGCTGCATGGCTGGGCAGAGACTAAAACTTGTGCATGTTCCATGCCCAGGAGGGCATGGAGCCAGAGCCACACCTGACAGTATACAACAGGGGGCACAAGGAGGCAGAAGCTGTGGGGAGCTGAGAAGGGACAGAGGCTGCAAGGGCACAGGAGCGGTGGGGAGCAAGTCACGGGGCAAAGGCCCTGTGGTGTGGGGCAGGGGCAGGCTGATGGGGAGACAAGTGATGGAGGCCACCTTCCCCCCAGCTCCCTGCTCCCTCACTACTGCTTTCCTCACTGCAGAGGTGGTGGTTGGGACAAATTTAAGATGACCCTCCAATAATTAGATTCTACACATGGGAAGTAATAACAAGTTTATAATTTTCTATATACAGAATCTAATTATTGGGGGGTTACCTTATATCTAAAGTCATCTTGGATATGGGTAAACATGGTAATTACCTGAGAAGGCTTCAATTCTTTCTGTTCCCCAGTACTTGTCTCCACACATTTTCCCACAAATACTCTTTCAGCTGTCTTCCATCTAAAGACTGTCTCTCTGTCTTTCCCTAACTCCCCCCACCTCCATACCCCTCCAAACAAAAAAGGATGGGGCATAATTTGCATCATAAAACTCAGAAGAGACTTGGGGAGGAGGGAATCAGAAAAAGTTAGCACTCTGAAAATTATTACATACATAATTTTAATGTTTATTTCCAAACTGATACAAGAAATAGTTATAGAAATACTCGTCATTAAACTTACAACTTAATAACAAATTGACTTGTTTACAATTCATGGGCTGGAACCTGTTTTATAAGCTTAGGGTGGTATCCAACTGCTACAAAAAATTGTTACATTTTCTTGGCTCTAGATACTGGTAGGGCAGAACTTAAACATCTTTTGCAAGCTGCTGAATCTCTGCAAACTGTCTGAGCACAGTCCCCCTGAATAACTGAACTGAGCTCATAATGCTAAATGGTCTTAAACTTTCACTAAGCTTTATAACATTTGAATTCTGTCTTAACTTCAGGTATTAGTGGATAGAGCAAAAGCCTTGAATTTTGTAAATTCTCACATGTGTATTGTGGTTATGTAATATTTTGGCTGGGAGGTGTTCTTTACATAGGGAATTATAGGGTGCCTTCTTTTTCAACGTTTATTATGGAGTTTGGAGTTATCCGATACTTGCCTGACAATATTGGTTAATATAAGTAGCAGCAGTCACCCTTTTTTTGCCAAAGTCTTTTTTGGGTGGCTTCTTGCACCTCCAACAGAATTAATCTATTTTGGATTAACAACTGCAAAAAATCTGGGATGGTAATTGCTAGGCACAAGATTCTGTACTTTCTTCAATTTTCTAAATGTATTCTAATGTTCTTAAATCAGAACAGTGCCTGTGGATACAGCATAAACTTTTTTTTAAGGTTGGGCTTCACACCAAAATTTCACATGCTGAAAATGTGATGATCAAAGAAGCTGGCTACCTGCATGCCTAACCTTTATGATCCCTGTACTCCTTGATCAAAGGTAAACCAGTGCAAGAGTGATAGGTAAAATTCTTCATGTTACCATATTTACTCAGATCCAAGACAACCCTGAATTTAAGACGACCTTCCCAGTCATTTGATTCTATACATGGAAAATGTGTACACTTGTTATAATTTTCCAGGTACAGAATCTAATTATCCGAGAGTTGAATTCATCCCCCTGCCCCCTTGCCCTGTGCCTCCTACTTCTTCCCCCCGGCAGCCTTCCTGCCTCCCCTGCCACCGACACCCCTATTCCCACAACCTCTGCCTCTTCCCTCCCACTCCCTACAGTCTCTGCCTCCCCCTTACTGTCAGACACTCTGTTCCCTCCCTGGTACACAGCACGTGGAAGCACAGCCCCTACTGGGCCATAATTATTATTTTCCTAGGGTGAAACTATAGGGAGAGAATGTAACTGCACAGTTCAACTCAGATGTTCATGACTTCCTTTGTATCAACCGTATATAGAAACTGCTCAATTCTATTTTCAATGAGAACTTGTCTGGACAATTTATGAGATTACCTGAAACACGAGAAGAATACTGCAATCACAGCAAGTTTCCTGTAAGGGGGGGGAGGGGGGAGGGAGAGGAGAACCTCTGGTCACACCCTTCATCTAAGCATTACATTTAATGCACCATATAATAATAATTTTAAAAAACCTTGCTGGGTGAATCCCCTTAAAACATGAGAGGTATGAGAACCTTTAAGAGAGATTAAAAAAATCTAGTTCTACTAAAACAGTCATTGCAGTTATCAGAGGTTCTCACATCATCGGAAAATGCTCACTTGTTCTGACAAGGGCATGAGAAACAGAAATATTTTCATTGTTTTTTCCTGCAGTCAGCTTTGTGATATCAAATATAGTATTAACTATCCATGCCAATACAATATCTACCCACCAAAGCCTACTCCTATTGACCTCAAAGACAGGAGACTGAACTAGAAGACACTTGCTAGTCTTCAGTCTACCTCTCTGAAGCAGGACTTAGAAGGATCTCCCAAAATTAGAAAAAAATACCAGGAAACTGGCAATGGTGCAAGAGAGAGAAGTGGACAGTCCTGTTGGGGGGAAAAGGGGTAGAATATACATGGAATCCAAAA